AAACAAGCCAATGCATGCACTCATGTACGAATAACGATCAAACACAACTCTACCTTTAAACTGATACACATCGTTGGCCCATTCTCCACCCATGCCGTTACGGCAGTTGCCTGCTACGCCTTGMYTTTTATATGTATTCGCTGCATCAGCTGCAGAATAGCACTCTCGACCGTATTGMACACCAAACGTTGAATAGCCTTTCCTTCTCACTGTCTTAGCGCATTGATCCACGGACTTAACATCCCCAAGTTTTTCTTTTATTGCTCTGATGAATGAATCTTTGAAGCATCCGATGCGATTGTAGTCATCACTGGTAGCTGCTCATGAGAACAGAATAAAAAGAATATTACATGGGGTCGCTTGGAGTACAAATTTTATCTTTAGGTGCTGTGAAAGTCGCTACCCTTACTCGTGTGGGAGATCTTTTCAACACTCGTAGCCGGATAAAATTCTATGTTCGCACACTCATGTAATATTCTCTTTCTATCTAACTACGAAGAGATCGAAGAACAAACTAAAAATAACAAAAACCATGAAGAAAAAACAACAACAAATGTCACTAAAAACTAAACCTCACCTCACTTCGAAAGCTAAAACACCCAATGTGGTTGAAAAGTTGTTCTAAATCTTGTGAAATGGCGAAATTATAGTTAAAACTCAAGTATACATCATCGATTATCAACTTAAAGACGGCATATATTTGGAATTATAACGCCTGGCACTGAAACAGGTGAAACTTATCGCATTTTACATCGGTGAATATAATTGTTATGTAATCGACCGAAAATTTAAAGTTTTCAAATATTTACCCTAGTAACAATTACGTAGGACAACGAACGATTCACGAACTTCACTTTGAATGAAAATTAGTAATTTTTCGCGTTGTTGTTGTTGGTTTGCAAACGTATTTGCTGCTTTTCCCGAAATATGAAAGCTTATCAATATATGCAATGTTGCTGTGAATATTGTGTTCGTGTAAGAATTTTTTGTGTGAAGGAGATGAAATAATTCCAGCAGTCTAAAGAGCTATCAGAGCTATAACGTTCTATTTCACACATACTATAACCTACTAGCTAAAATGCTAACCGACTTCTCCATATTTTGCATCATTCGCAACGTACACTGCGTTTTGAAATGCTTTTGGTACATTTTTACTTACATGTAATACACTCACTCGACAATAGAGTGTTATAATGTTTAAAGTTTAATATTCTTACCTTCAGCAAAAGAAATGCAAGAAATAACAAGCAGTACGATGTGGACGTTCATTATGCTTCCTTCTTAAATCAAGCTTTACAAAGATGGCAGCAGCTTGCTGAACACATTCACTCGGCATGAAATAATGATGAAATGAATTCAAATATGACTGCAATTTGTGTAGACGTTGCTTAGGAACACGAAACAAAGGATTTACGCACCAAAGATGATTTCAAAACAAAGGTGTTTTATTTTTAAGCTTAACTGAGAATGATGTAATGGTCTTCCGAGTCTATGTTCGTTTATTGTTTATCCAAATCTCACAATAATGTTTTTTAATAGTCGATATTTCCTTGTATGTGTGTAAAAAGTTAAAATAAACTGGAAAAAAATTTAGTATCATAACCTAAATGTGCAGGACCTATGCTAGTCTCCTTCGCAGCCTACCCTTTTGTCGGGCTTCCTGTCCTTCTTTTGGGAGCGACAGGAAGCCCGACAAAAGGGTATGCTGCGAATGACTGGACCTATGCACCCACTTAAAAATATTATATGAAAATGTTGCTATATCCTTTCATAGACTGTTGAATCTCTGTTAAAATTCTACAACGATTCTCGTGGTTTAAAAGAGAGAAATGTCTCTGTTATGTTAAACAGGCCTCGAGAATTATTAGCGCGTACTATAGCAGAGTGTTGAGCATATTGAGAATGAGTTAGTACTAAGCATCATTCAGGTGATTTCGGCTGTAAAATATATCTTTATTGTGAAAAGGTAGCCTTTACAAACTAATAATTTACAAACTTGTGCCCCTCAACAAAATACATACAAAATTCAACTGTTGATAGAAAAAAAAATGGAAAAACGTTAAATAACTAGACACTCTTAGTGTGTTTAGTCAGACTACGTCAAAGTTTATAGTTCATTTTGATAGTCAGGGTTTGTTTTATGGGTTTAATGCGACTTCAATCTTTAGCTGCAAGGCGAAACTAGCCATCAAAGAGGTAAGGATAGCAGGAGTGCATTTAAAAAATTGCTTTTTAAATCGCTGTTTAATCTAACAAGCAATCTTAATCATAATATATAATCCGGAGGCGATAAATAATAAATTATTTCGCTCAGAACTGCTAATYRTGCTTTTACAACATGAGCWTCATCAACGCGCATGCCATAATCAAAAATACGCTGACACCAACTTGAATGGCACCATTGCACTTATAGCCAGTGCAGCACTTCTGCGAGCAGTCAGTTTTCCCCTTGCACAAAAATATTGCCGGAAATATTTTTTTTTAAATGTCACTTGTGCATTAAGAGGTTTTAATACTGAATAATTACCGTTGCTTGTTCCCCCTGCTAATGGGAAAAGTTTCATTTTTTTCTGCAAATCAAGATACTTTATTCCTTCATTTTGTTTTATTTCGTATTCATTTATTTACTTTCTTTTTTACTTAAATAACAAAAACAAAAACTCTCAAGCTAAGTAAGCTCGGACAATGTAATAATATCTAATTTAACACTTGTCCCTATGCTTTCATCGTTGCCCGATTTTGAAAACATTGTCATGGAAAGTTCGATACGTCGAACAGAAAAAAATTTCCTTGTATTCCTTCAGTACTGACAAAATGAGGGAGGGAGAATTAGCATTAAGGCCCGTTTACACTTGCAATTTTTGCAAAGCGATTGTCGAGCGACAATCGCCTTAGTTTCGAACATGCTTGAAATTTAGCTGCAACTCGCGGCAATTTTTGATCGCCACGACAATCGCACGATTTGAGGTGAGAGAGAACAAAGTGGCGATTGTCGCGCGACAATCGCGCTGCAAAAATTGCAAGTGTAAACGGGCCTTTAAGATGTGAATCTCGGGTCTACCCACTTAGCTATTAAATTTCGTCCTTTTAATTTTATTCAAAATGACTTTTAATTAGATGCTATGAMTTTCAGCCACCTGAAACAACAGCAATTACCATTCATATTTATTATTCATTCTTATTTACGAGACCAAATTACTTTAACCTTTTTCTTCTCTTTCATTAACTCAATTAGCAGGAAAATATTGT